TGGTTTAATTGATATTATATCTAATTAGCTGTTAGTTTTCGCGAAAATTCTATTTTAGTTTTGCCGTTGATTATTACTTTAGAACCACCTTTAACGCCAGGCTTGCCACCACGACCCCCTCTTCCACGTCCGCGTCCACGATCACCACGATCACCTCGACCTCCACGAAATCCACGGGAGCCAGCTGCGGCACCGCGTTTTTGAATTCCTAACGAAAATATAATTAAAATTCATTTGCGATTTGGCATTGTGAATATTAAATATTCATACCGCCACCACGAGCTAGCGGAAAAAATTTAAGGATCAAAAATAAATAAATTGGGAATACCATTCATTAAATTGTTGTTATTTAAACTTAGTCAAGCAATATTAATTTGTTGTAGCATAAAGAAAATACTCGCTCCATACATGAAAACCCCCCTCGTCCTCCACGGTCTCCTCCACCACGTCCTCCACGATCTCCTCCACCTCTGCCTCCACCGCGTCCTCCACGTCCAAAACTTCGGCCGGTGTCTATAATAAATAAATGTCAATAAGTTATATATGAAGAACAAAGGAACCCTCTTGATAATGACTTGTTATAGAAAGTAAAACCTAATATTTACTGTATACCATTGTACTTCTCAGCTTGGGATAAGTTGATGGATTACTTAAAAAAAAAAAAAATGTCACGTTTTTTTTATCATACTTATTACGAAAACATAGTTACACGAAAATTTACCGTATCGGTATCTGTTAATTATCTATTGCTTTAACTATAAATAAATTATTACAGTATTATATCTGTTATTCATTTAAGTCACATGATCAGTGTTGTCAAATGTCTTGCATGTATTGGTAATTGTCACATCTTGCATGTATTGGTAATTGTCACGTCCTTTTATTATATAACTTATTACTCGATGTAATAAATAATATAATAAATGGATGCGACAATTACTAATATGCAAGACATTTGACAACACTGCACATGATAGCTTGGTTATCATACGTAGCAAAGAATTATGATCCAGAATAATAAAAAAAAACTCGCATAATTTAACCACCCACGCTAGAGGCCTGCATTGGGTCCCGCAGCCCGGCCCGGCTCGTAAATTTTTGCGGGCCGGGCCGGGCCTGGCCTGAAGTAAAATTTTACAACTGCGGGCCAATGCGGGCCTAAAAATTTTCACAGCCTGAAGAAAAAACTTATATATATGCGGGCCGGGCCGGACCGGCAAAAAAAATTTTACAGCTGTTTTCATAAATTCTGGGACATCTGGCAAAAAATGGTCCGAACAAATATTGCCGGTTCGATAAGTTT